ACAGGCTTCTAAGAGATAATGATGACGCTGGGTATGGTGGCACACAACTTTAATCCCAGCACTCAAGAGGCAGAAGCATGTCTCTGTGAGGTTAAGGCTACCCTGTCTCAAAAAAATGGAACAATAAAAGAGACAGAGAAAATAATAAAATACAGTTACATCAAACAAAAGTGTCATGTCAGAGTTGGACAAGACGAGCCAACAGAAGGAAGAGAGCTCAGCAGAAAGCACAAGAGTCAGACACCCACTTTGTTCCTGTACCCAGGGATCCCATAAAAACAGTGAACCGGACCTGGTGCAGACATGTGGGGGCTGCTTCGGTCTCTACGCGTTTACATGCGTTTTTTCACACTGCTGTGGGGGGGGGGCTTGCTCTCCTGGAGTCCTCCATTATCTCCGTCTCTCACGCTGCTTCCATCTCCGCTTCCGTGGGGTTCCCTGAGCTCTGAGGAAAAGGGTTTGGTGGAGACATCCCATTTAGAGCTGTGGGCCAGTGTTTCTCCCTCTCTGCATGGTGTCCGGCTGTGGGTCTCTGCATTTGTTCCCATCTGCGACGGGATGAGCTTCTCTGGTGCTGGCTGAACAAGGCACTAATCTGAGGAGAGTAGAATATCCTCGGGAGTCATTTTATCGATGTTTCAGACCAGCGTTATTTTGCTTCATCCTAGGTTGCTGGGCTCTCTGGTCTCTGGCTCTTGATTGCCTTAGCAGTCAGTCCTAGCAGCACAATGAAACCTCTGGGAAAACTGATCACCAGGGTCCTGGTGAGCTTCCTGGGTGGTGATCTACATTAACCCACCTGGGTGGTGATCTACATTAACACACCTGGGTGGTGATCTACATTAACACACCTGGGTGGTGATCTACATTAACCCACCTGGGTGGTGATCTACATTAACCCACCTGGGTGGTGATCTACATTAACACACCTGGATGGTGATCTACATTAACACACCTGGGTGGTGATCTACATTAACACACCTGGGTGGTGATCTACATTAACACACCTGGGTGGTGATCTACATTAACACACCTGGATGGTGATCTACATTAACACACCTGGATGGTGATCTACATTAACCCACCTGGGTGGTGATCTACATTAATCCATCTGGATGGTGATCTACATTAACCCACCTGGATGGTGATCTACATTAACACACCTGGGTGGTGATCTACATTAACACACCTGGATGGTGATCTACATTAACCCACCTGGATGGTGATCTACATTAACACACATGGATGGTGATCTACATTAACCCTCCTGGGTGGTGATCTACATTAACCCACCTGGATGGTGATCTACATTAACACACCTGATGGTGATCTACATTAACACACCTGGATGGTGATCTACATTAACCCACCAGGATGGTGATCTACATTAACACACCTGGGTGGTGATCTACATTAACACACCTGGGTGGTGATCTACATTAACCCTCCTGGGTGGTGATCTACATTAACCCACCTGGATGGTGATCTACATTAACACACCTGATGGTGATCTACATTAACACACCTGGATGGTGATCTACATTAACCCACCTGGATGGTGATCTACATTAACACACCTGGGTGGTGATCTACATTAACACACCTGGGTGGTGATCTACATTAACCCACCTGGATGGTGATCTACATTAACACACCTGATGGTGATCTACATTAACACACCTGGGTGGTGATCTACATTAACACACCTGGGTGGTGATCTACATTAACACACCTGGGTGGTGATCTACATTAACACACCTGATGGTGATCTACATTAACACACCTGGGTGGTGATCTACATTAACACACCTGGGTGGTGATCTACATTAACACACCTGGGTGGTGATCTACATTAACACACCTGGATGGTGATCTACATTAACACACCTGGGTGGTGATCTACATTAACACACCTGATGGTGATCTACATTAACACACCAGAGAAATCCGCCCTCAGGACATGGGGTTTTCTGTTTGGGACCCTCCAAAACTTTGTCCTTGTCACATGTGTCTCCATTTGGCTGGCTCTGATTCCTTATCCATCGCCATGGAAACAGAATGACAGGATACTTGCCGGAGTTCTGCAAGCTATTCTAGTGAACCAGATCTGACGGCAGAGTAGGGACTGCACATCATTTAGTGCCTCATGAGAAGAGAAAGTGGCTGGGCAGATTGTCGAGCTTGAAGCTGGTGTCTAAAGTGGGGGATTCTTTTATTTTCGTTAGTATGTGGTCGCTGTACAGTGTGTTTTGCTAAGACATTTATATGCACGTGTATCATGTACTTTAAACATACTCCTCTGCTGGGCTCTTCTGACCCCTCCTCTAAAGTGGGGGATTCTTGGGAGGATTTCTCCGAGTCATGGAAACTGCACTAACACTATGTCGATAGAGTCAGGACTACATTGCAGCTAGGCCTGGAACGAGGCTGTGGGAGGAGCCTTCCTAACAGCGGCGGGGGAGCTGCTGACATTGTGGAATGGCCAGAGAGCGGGGATTTGGGAGTCAAAGGCATAGTCAGCAGAATTCTGGGATGGTTTCACGGTTTCTGACCCCTCAGACACAAATCTGAATAACCCTTTTGAAGTTTTCTGGGATGCCTTAGCAACCCAGGGCTTACACTTGGTTATACGCAAAATCCTTTCCAAATAAGGCAACTAGTTCACTCTGTCCTAACATCTTTCCAGCAACTCCCCTTCTGTGCCCAAACACGTCCTGAAAAAAAAAAAATCCAGAACCGGAGGCACTGAGATGACCCAGCCTGCACTGACTTTAAATACGCATGCAGTAAAATGACTTGTGTCCCCAGGATGAACTTTTAGGTGTAATCCCTTCCTTAACATCCTATGCCTGTGCATGATTGGGCCTGCAGGTGATTAAACTCAAAGGCGTTATGGGAAAGGTCACGCATAGTAAATGATAACCCTGTGAAAGGGTTTATCAGAGCCAAAAAAAAAATATTGTCCCTAGCAACCACTCCTCATCCTCCAGAAGCCATAAAGGAACCAAAATTTATTCTTTAAAAAATAGCTTTATCAATAGGTACTATTTTCACTTTAGCTAATAAAACTGATTGATTACATTTTAAAAGGAAAACCCAGTTTAAGTAACCCAGGCTATTGCAGAAACCTCACTGTATATCATCTCCACTCCTCCTCTTTACTTATAAAAGCCTTTGGGTTTTTTTTCCGAAGAATTTAAATCTTTCAACGAGAATCTGAAAGCACCACATCCAGATAGGACCATCAGCAAACACTCAGGTGTGAGGTCACACTGCGTGATGGATTTTAACACAGGATTAAGACGAGGGAGTCTACAGACATGACTGAGACCTAAAAATCAGTATAACCTTGAGTTAACCAAAGCAGAGATTGTCTTAGGCAGGTACTTTTAAAGAAACATACCCCTTCCTGAAGGAGTAAGTTCAAGAAATATAAAGGAGCCATGGGCAGCAGGGAACTGAAGTATCCCTAGATGCTGACAGCACCCCTCTCTCCAGTCCAACAGCCACGACCCCTTCAACTACAGCCACAGTTGGGAGAGTATCTCACAAGAGGCCAGCGTTAGAGCCTTAGACCTTCATCAGGGGACAGTCTGGGAAGGTGGCAGTACCTTTGAGAAATGAGGCCTAGCGGGAGAAAGTTGGGCGACCGTGAATTTCCACTAAAGAGGATGATGAGCTCTGGTCTCTTCCCCTTTTGCTTCCTCTTCTCTTCCTGGCCACCAGGAAATGAGGAACTTCACTCCACCATGCCATGCACAAAGACCCAGAGTCACAAATCTAATCAATGCTGATGGGAGCCGTGATGGTGGAGTCCAAAGTTAATTATCTGACAGAACCTCAGGTCTTCCAGATGGCACCGTAAACTTAACCTATTGAGATCCATGGAGCATAGAACCCAGCTCACCCAGACCTAAACTTTTAGACACTAGCAAATAACAATAAACACACGTTGCTGCAAACCACTGAGTTCTAACAACTGTTGCTTGCTGCAAGCCCTGCCACAGCCTGGGTTCAAGCCCCGAGGCCGAGAAGAGACACTGACTCAGAGAAATGAACTGTCCGACCACCAGTTGAGTTTCACACAGGTGGCTGGCCTGGAATAGTTCCAGCCGTCTTTATTTATACATCAAAAACAAACATGTTCTTCCATACTATAAAACAAGTTTTTCCCATCCTCCAACATTAACCTCCAGCAAAAACAAATACGTAAAACGTGTTTTTTCCCAACTTTGACGTCAAAACATCTTTAAACCAAAACAACACTTGTCATTTTGCTGGCTTGGCCAAGTACCGAGCCAGGCAGGTACACCCTGTCCTTACAAAACTAAAAGGTGAGCGACATAGGCACACATTTTCAAAAACAGCAACCCCATTCAAAACATATTGACAAAAAATGGGGGTGATCTACCTCCCCTCCTGTCAGCACGGAAGTAGGACAGCTCCCCGGGGTCTGAAATGACAGCTGGCATCGCCAGACAAGAAACCTGAGACGCATCCATTCCCAAAGAATTGTAGGGGAAGATACTCGAGAAACGGGGCTTCCAGGAACGATCACGTTTCCCATGCGTGAGTGGCAAACGACGCCCAGGGGAGTCACCAGCATTCCAAGAGAGAAGGAAGCAAGCTTGCGGCTGCACAGTCACGGCACTGCTCCGCCCTGTCCCAGAGTTCACTGCCAAGTGAGACTGTCCCCGTGGGCTTTTGCCTCATCTGAAGACCCGTCGGACAACACTCGTATACTGGCCCCAAAACTAGGCCACGTGTCTGTATGCCCATGCCATCTAATAACTCTAAGTTTTCACCCAAACAGACAACGCGTCTTAATGCCCCCCCCCCACGTCAACCCTGAGGCTCAGACCTTTTGCTACCACCTGGCTCCTTTCACACTGATGCTGATGCCCCTTTCTGCACCCTCCCTCTCTGCTGGCGGTGATGCCAGAGGCCCCGGTTCGACTCAGACGACCCCTTACTGTGTCCACGGAACTTACCTTTGTTCCGCGGTTCCCCGGGGCAACGTGGTGTCCCATACGGGGCTGTGAACACATGGGTAAGACTCCAGAAGATGCTTCCCGTCCTGCTGATCTGCCTCCTGCCGGTGTCCGACGGGAAGAGCTGTCTCCAGTGCTGGCCGGAGCTGCCCGCTCTGCTGGACTATGATCTGCAGGTGCTCTGGGGCAACCCAGGGCCACCCACGGAACTCTCACAAGCCCTACACTCCTTTTTCCTGGAGGACAGCACCTTACTCGCGCCCTGGTACCTCGGTGAGGCACAGCCGGGCAGGGACGGGAGCACCCATTCGCCTGGCCTGATCCTGTCCCCGACGTCCTGCTGTCCCCTGTCCCATTCTCAGCTCGAGATCAACTGGAAGAGGAAACGGCTGTGTTCTTCACCCACGTGGACAACGCCATTAAGAAGCTGAGGGATGGTAAGGACCCCAGGGACCGAGTCGGGTCACCTAACCCTGATCTAAACAGCATTCTTGGTAGTGGGTAGAGAGGCTTCCTTGAAGAGCAACGGGGCCACTGTGCGTTCTGCGGTGGTACAGACATGATCCCAGCACTTAATGGTGAAGACGAGGGGATCACGGATTCAAGGTCACCCTCCACTACATAGCGATCAGTCTGCATACATGAGACCACGTGTGGGGGTCAGGGGAGACTGGGACAACGGCTCAGTAGATAAAGCCCTACCTGTACAAGCACGAGGCCTGAGTTCGGATCCCCGGAGCCCAGCTTGGTAAATCTAGGAGTGGCAGCACGTGTCTGCAATCCAGTGCCCCTAAAGAGAGATGGGGAGGTGGAGACAGAAGATTCCCGGGAAGCTCCCGAGTCAGCTGGCTGCATGCACACAGCAGCAAACGGTGAGAAAGCCCGCCTCAAGAAACAAGATGGGAGTGAGGACTGGCATCCAGGTTTCCTCTGGCACCCATGTGCATGCCGTGACACGCGCATCCCTGCTCTTGGAAGGACGCAGACAGATGTATACTCATATGCCTTCCACACACACATGCACGCGCACACACACACACTTCTTTAAAGCAAAAGCTGGAGAGAAGGCTCAACCACCATTAAAAGGTTTTCCTTTTAAGTGTGAAGACCTGAGTTCAATTCCCAGAACTCACGTGTTTAAAAATGTATGTAGTATCTGTGCCTATCAACCCCAGTGCTGAGGAGGCAGAGGTGGGAGGACCCCAGCGGCTTACTTGACAGCACGAAGAGTAAGACACCCTGTCTCAAAAAATAAGGTGGTTCCTAAGGAACAGCAACCAAGGCTGACTGCCAGGTTCCGAGCTCACATGCACGGGTTACCAGTACACGGGCTCACACGCACGGGTTACCAGTACACCGGCTCACACGCACGGGGTACCAGTACACGGGCTCACACGCACAGGGTACCAGTACACGCGCTCACACGCACGGGGTACCAGTACACTGGCTCACACGCACAGGGTACCAGTACACGCGCTCACACGCACGGGGTACCAGTACACGCGCTCACACGCACGGGGTACCAGTACACGGGCTCACACGCACGGGGTACCAGTACATATGTGTGCACATGTACGCAAAAGACTGGCTTCTTATCAGTGAGTTTCTCCCGTATGCTACACCCAGACAAGTCAGCGCTTCTGGAAGAGATCCGGGTCCAGAAGGGGCTGCTGGCTGAGAAGCTGAAGGACAGGTCCCAGGAGCTGACGCAGAGGGGTAGGAGGTGGGGCCACCCCGCCCCACCCCTCCCCGCCCCACCCCTCCCCGCCCGCCCCCCCCTCCCCACCCCCTCCCCCCCCTCCCCACCATCCTTAGACCATGGTCCATGAATCCAATGGGCAGTCCCTCCTAAGGTCTCCCCAGGAGCTCCTTCCTAACCCACAGGTTAGGTTCCCCCCAGGAGTCCCCTAGTGCCATGTCCTGCTCCCTACCCCACCACTCCCAGGTCTGTGCCTCTCTGATGCCTCAGTTTCTCCACCATCTCACTTTCCTGGGCAGCCTGCAACGACTCCTGTGGTGAGTATGCCCAGGGCTGAGCTGGGGGAAGGGACGAGAGACCCTGCCTCATCTGAGGCTCCTGTTCGTCTCTCTCACAGACATCCTTTCCCCAACGGAGGTCACTGTGTGTGCTGACTGCCAGCAGCACTTCCTGTCCTGCAATGACCCTACCTTCTGCACAGGTAGGTGGCCTTTGACCCACTCGTTGGGCGTCACATGACTCATCCTCCCTTTCCCAAACCCCCCACCCCTGGGTTCCCCATCTCTGCCCATCATTCTTTTCTACCCTAGCTAGAATGGCCCCAGGTTTTCTTCTTCTGTTGGGTCAAGACAACAGAATCTGCCTGGCTTTAGAGCTGGGAGCCACTGCTTCTGGGTCCTCGGACACAGCACACCTGCCACTCTCTCAGTGTTGTCACTTAAAAAAAAAGTCAGTGAGAGAAAAGACGCCATGCAACAGAGCTTGGCTGGAGGGTCTTTGCTGTTGCCTTTGTGGGGGAAGGGGGACTACACCGCAAGCTCTCAAGCCTCCACCATTCTTCCTCTGGCCTCTCACACCTCTCAGTGGCAGCAACCTTTCTTGCTGTCCCCTACTCCTCCAGTCTTGGCCGTCCCCGGTACAGAAAACACGTTGCTGAAGGGCCAGTCTGCCCCAGGACACGGCCTTTTTGTAACCTCAATTGCCCACCCCAGTCTCCAAACACCGGGTTCCTCCTTTCCCCCCCCCCCAGTCAAGGTCGTTCAGACCTACAAGTGGGCTGTGATCCTCATCAGCGCCCTGACGCTCCTGGCTGTGGCTGGCATCGGGTGAGTGGCTCCTCCCAACTCCGGTGCCCCGAAGGACACACGCCCACCCTCTGACTGAACAGTCTCTCGCCTTTTTCTTGCCCAGCGGCTACTTTTTCTGGCTCCGAAAGAAGAAGAAGACTGTTGAGGTAATCAGATACACTCCTTTCTGGGGCCTTGAGGCTCAGCGCCTGCCTGCTGGGCCTGCTGTGTGCAGAGATATTTGAACCTGGGCCCGGGATACAGATGGGCAAAGTCCCTCAAGCCTCTTGTTGTCACCAGAGTGCTCCTGCAGAGCCAGCTCCTCTCTCTGCCCTGCACACTGACATGAACAGGCCAGCATGGTAACAGCTTTGTCACGACTCCTGGGGGTGGCTGTGGCCAGTGGGACTCCCAGGAGGAAGAAGTCAGAGAGCCTGGGATTGCATTGGGAAGTCCCATTTCTTTCCTCTTTGCAGGGAAGAGTCAGAGAGTTACCCCCTTACGGAAGGGAACAGCACTCACAACAACAACCAGAACAGATGTTGTCTGACCGCTAAGTCGTCTCTGGACTTGGTGACTCTGCCGCGTACAAAGCACTCCTCCCTGGGGCCAGGAGAGCTCTGAGGTTCTGCAGTTCTGCAGACAAGCCCCCCTCCCCCTGCCTTCCTCCCTCCCCCTCCTTCCCTTCCTCCTTCCCTCCCTCTCATCCTCCCTCCCCCTCCCTCCCTGCCTTCCTCCCTTCCTCTCTCCCTTCCTCCCTCTCTCCCTTCTTCCCTCCCTCCCTCCCTCCAAACACATATCATTTTGTACAATAGTTCTTTCATTAAAAACATTTCTTCCTGGTTTTTCTGGAGATTTGGTTTAAGCGGATGCAATACTCATTCATTGTTGTCAACTTGACTAGATCTAAATCACCCAGGAACACTCTGTAAAGAGCTACAGCCCTAGGCCTGGAAGCTACTTTCTTTGTGTAGGGGAAGGCAGGGAGACTTTTTAAAAGTGTGTTGTGCCCCCTAGTTTTTATGTCAACTTATAACAAACTAGAATCCTTGATGGGAGATGTCATTCTGTAAATATATGTCTCTCTTATTGGTTGATGAATAAAACACTGCTGGCCAATAGGGAAGCAAGATAGGTGGGACTAGGCGTAAAGGAGGATTCTGGGAAATGTAGTCAAGAGTGAAGAGTTGCCATGTGATCCTACATGAGGCTGCGTCTTCGGTAAGATAAGTCCTTGTAAAAAATATATAGATTAGTAATTACGTGTGGTTCCTGCACCATGAGCAAGTCCGAGGTATAAGGAAATGAAAGACAAGATGTCTGGCCTTTTGTGCTAAGAGAATGCGTGTGTGCTCCTTTATTGGAAGTGCTAAGAGGTCTCTCTCCAATTATGGAGAGGGAGCAGTCTTATATACAGGCTTACAGCACAGTGGAAAAACCCCAGGTGGAAGAGAGAGTGTTTTCCTCTTGCTAGATGTTGATGTCAGTGGGGCAAGGCCAGGACAGTAAGCCAGGACTACAGAACAGGATGTACTTGGGCTGGAAAACAGGATGGACTTGTTGGCTGGCCAGCGACTCACAGAGACCCCGTGGGGGCTGAGACCCAACATTTATGGGTTAATGATTAAGTCAGAGCTAGCCAATGAGAAACCATAGCAAATGGCCAACAGCTTCATAATTAATGTAGTGTCTCGTGTGCTATTTGGGGGATGAAACAGTGGCGGGACCCAGGCAGCTGGCAGGAAAGAATGCACGTTACATATGGCACCTGGACTTGGGGCATGAACTCCCACTTAAAAATCTAACAAAAAACTTTAAAGGGGTTTTAGAAACAAAAGGACAGAGAGAAGCATGACTTCTTGATAGCAGCATTTTCTCAGGTGGGCTCTGTTTTGCTAGAGAAAAGCAGAGACTTGCGTGGCCAGTGCTGGCGGTAAACTTACGCTCCCCATCTTGGAAAGACAGCAGTTAAAACAGCCATGTCTCTTAACACACAAAAGACACATGGCCAGAAAAACATAAAGATTTACAGTAAAATCAGATTCAGATAAAGTAAAGCCTCTAAAATGTTTATACTGTGTTTAGAAATATACATAGGCTTGGGGGAGAAAAAGAAACAGGATAATGGCTGGGTGATGGTGACACACATGCCTTTAATCCCAGCACTCTAGAGACAGAGGCAGGCAGATTTCCACAGAGAAACCCTGCCTCAGGAAAATAAATAAATAAAAGTAAAATCAATAGAGTAACGAAAAAGACACATAAAGAAGGAATGAAATACACAGAGAGTCTGGATACTGTATGCTATTGTGTTGCCTTTGAATTGTTTAATTGCTGGAGCAACAACTGTTAAAAGGTATTTGATTATCAATGCTGCTGAATTAATCCAACCTATATATTTTAAAAATGCTTTGACTTCTAAATTTAAATATAAGGACAGGTTACTTGGGAAAAGAGTTTTTACTTGTGTTTCCACAGAAAATGAGGAGCTGTGGATTCCTTCCAGGCTTCTGTGGTTTGATGAAGCAAGACCCCCTGAAGCAGTGTCCCTGGGCAGTCCAGCATCTGAAACAGCTGAGACAATGCAGCCGTGCAGACTACAAAAACAAGGACTTAACCAGGTTTCCGTGTTTTGTCATGATCACCATGGTATGGACAGCGCCCCCAACCAGCAGGAAGCAGTTTGGAATGAGCAAAGTCCAAATTCCCAAGTATTGCTTATAAATTTTTGTTTTCATTTAAATGGGGTCGCTTATAAACGGTAATGATCACATTCAATCTCTTTCTAAAGGAAAAAAGGGAATATGATACAGAAATGAATACTGTGTATTGGTATGGATTTTCATTTATTGATACAAATTTAAGGTCAATTTTGTGATGTGTATATTTCTCCTGTTGTTTAAGCATTGTGTTTATACTGATCTTTTAAAATGTAATGTGTAACTAAATACAGATTATAGATAGTTATCTATAATAGTCAGAACTTATAGTTAGGTTAGTTACGTTTTCTGTATATCCAGAGATGTATTTGAAATGGATATTCTTCAAACCTTTCAAAGACCTTCAGAAAATGGCATTTAAAAATGGTTTAGGGTTTTTCTTGACAATGAGAAATGTCTGCTCCTGGCAGCACCAATCTACATCAGAGAAGATGATGGGCATCAAAGAAACTCATTATGGAGTTTACCTTTAACATGGCAGAACTAGCCATTTGGGCAAGAAATTACTCTTTCCTGAACTGTTTGACTGTTGCTGTATAATCTGGACATGCAGAACCCACAGGAAAGTGACTGCTGAACTTACAAAACAAGATGGACAGTCCTAAAGGGTTCATGCTTCATGGAACAGTCTGCCGGACATTCTACAGGACACAGAAAAATGACTGACAGACTGCCAATGCAGACAGACAGTTTAAAAGTTCCTGCTTTGCTGAGAAGTCTGCCAGACACACTGTGGCCTATGGGCTGAAGATGGATGCCCCAACATTACAGAGGAACTTCAGGTGACTGTCCAGGTAGTGAGATGCCTCTGTCAATTCTAGTGTTTATATATTATCCTTCTGTGGTCTTTGATGGAGTTGAAGACAGATAGTTACAGTTTTCCTTAGTTATGATAAAATATAAGTTACATATAAGACTTTTAGACTCACAAAGATAGAATAGATGATAAAATACTTTCTTTAAATCTTACTAAATGTTAATGGACAAAATATTGTAACTATAGTTTTTACTTGATAACAGTTCTGTTATATATAATTTGACTATGTTAAAGTTAAAACCTTTATTTTTATTTAGACAGAAAAGTGGAGGTGATGAGAGATGTCATTCTGTAAATATGTCTCTCTTATTGGTTGATGAATAAAGCACTGTTGGCCAATAGGGAAGCAAGATAGGTGGGACTAGGAGTCGAGGAGGATTCTGGGAAATGTAGTTAAGAGTGAAAAGTTGCCATGTGATCATGGGAAGAGAGAATGCATGAGGCTGCATCCTCGGTAAGATTAATCCTTGTAAAAATACATAGATTAGTAATTATGGGTTAATAATTAAGTCAGAGCTAGCCAACGAGAAACCATAGCAAACAGCCAACAACTTCATACTTAATATAGTGTCTTGTGTGTTATTTGGGGGCTGAGACAGTGGTGGGACCCAGGCGGGAAGGATGCTCGTTACAAATCCTTTCAGAAGAAACTTCAGTGGGGAAAAAGCCCCATTCAGACTGGCCTGTGGGCTAGCCTGTGGTACCTCTTCTTGCCTGGTGATGTGGGAGAACACAGCTCACCCCAGAGCTCTAAGAAAAGAAGCTGAGAAATCCATGAGGAGCACTGCCTGGGAAGGTCGCAGAACGTTAAGAGGCAGGGTGTCTATCACTGGAGGAAGTTGGTCACTGGAAGCAGGACTGGAGGCTGGCTAACCCAACCTCACTTCCTGTTCACACTCCGCTTCCAGGCTGTGAATGCGATGACTAACCAGCAGGTTGCTCTGCCTCCATGCCTCCCCCACCCCACCCCACCCCCGACTGCTGTGTCTTCCCTGCTGTGCTGGGATGCCCCCGACTGTTGTGTCTTCCCTACTGCGCTGGGATGTCCCTGACTGACGGTGAGCCAGAATAAAACCCTTCTTCCCTTTAAATCACATCTCGTGAGGTCTCTGGTCACAGCATCAAGAAAGTACTTAATACAACCACTAACGTCATAAATCAATTTACTTGTTCGAACTTTGAAAAATACAGTTACAGTGTCACTCCACTGTGTCTGACTTCTTTCTTTTCTGAATATTATAGTCTGGGTATTTTCCAGTGCCTATTGTATACATAAGTATCTTTAATATGATTTCACTGCCTGTTTATTTGCTTACAGTTTCTACTAATGATGGATATTTAAGATTTTGCCAGTTTGGGATTATTTCCACATCTCAATATGTATTCTGTTGTGCATAAGCAAATATTTTCGTGTGGCACGTAGTCATGGGCTCCATAATGAGATTTCTAGTCAACAAAAGACCATATAAGGATGGTCCCATAAGAGCATATCGCCCAGTGGTGTCATAGCTATTCTAGATTATGTAAAGTCCCCCTGTGATGGTCACACAATGATGAAGTCACCAAAGATCCACTTCTCAGAACATATTGTCTTTATTAAGTGGTATATGACCATACTATACCATCTTATTTAGGTTTTATCCTTAATATATGTGTGTGTGCATGTATAATGTGTGTGTATGTGTGTATATATATGTATATAGTGTGTGTATGTATGTATATATAGTATATGTGTGTATGTGTGTATATATGTATATAGTGTGTATGTATGCATGTGTGTGTATATATATGTATATAGTGTGTGTATGTATGTGTGTATGCGGGTGTGTATATACATACATATATATAGTCTGTATGTGTGTATATATGTATATAGTGTGTGTATGTGTGATTGCATGTGTGTGTGTATATATGTATAGGTGTATGTGTGTATGTGTGTATATATATGTAAATAGTGTGTATGTATGTATGTGTGTATATATATGAATATAGTGTGTGTATGCATGTGTGTATACATATATATGTATAGTCTGTATATGTGTGTGTGTATATATGTATATGTGTGCATGTATGTGTATATATGTATATAGTGTGTGTATGTGTGTATGTGTGTACATATATATGTGTATAGTGTGTGTGTATGTATAGTGTGTGTATGTGTGTGTATGTATAGTGTGCATATATATGTATATAGTGTATGTATGTATATATAGTATATGTGTGCATATGTGTGTATATATGTATATAGTGTGTATGTATGCGTGTGTGTGCATATATATGTGTATAGTGTGTGTGTATGTATAGGGTG